TATATAAATATAAAGTATCCTCCTTTCAAATGGAAAAGGTGGGGTTCTAGAGGGGTGCAGTGGGTGGGTATAGGTGGAGGCTGGCCTGAAGCCTCCACCCGCTGCCCGCCAGCTCTAGCACTGTCCTCTAGGATAAGAGGCAAGGCCAGCCTTGTGTACTCAGCCCTGTCCTTCCTACACACATCACAGCTGCTTTCCCCGCAGGCCCTGGCCAGCAAACACTTAATGAAATCTTAGGCGGTGGCCCAGCCATTGATTGGCGCTGCACACAGGCCTGGCCGCCTGGCTGGGAACCAGGAGACCTATGAATGAGGCTGAGAGTGTTGTGTGTGTGTGTGTGTGTGTGTGTGTGTGTGTGTGTTGATTGCCCGCTGTCTCCCCCCCAACTCTGGGAGAGGAAGAGGCTTGGCCCCCCGTGGACTAACCTGGTCAGACTGGTGGACTGTGTTCTGCTGGTGGGGCTGCCAGTGGCCAGGGAGGTCCTGGGTGTGAAGCCCTGGGCAGGACAATAGCCCTGGTCCCCAGGGAGAAGGAAGTGAGGAGGACTGGCTGCCTAGTGAGTCTGGCCCACAAGGAGGAACTGGTGGGAGATGTGGAAGTGGCAGGCGGGGTGTGGGGGGGAAGTATGATTGGCCAAGAGCAGCTGTCATGGAGGGACAGGAATGGCGTCAGGGAGAACAGGCCATCTGGGCGGAAGGTGGTTCTGATGGGGCAGAAGATGAGGGGTGCTGGGGGTGGGACCCCTGGACACCCAACTCTAGACTGTTCAGGACTAAGATAGGCAGAGATAGCTCAGGGGGACTGGGCCTGATGGGACTGCGGGGTTTAGAATCAGCCTCACCAGCTACCTGGACGGTAGACACCATGGAACAAGAGGGAATGCTCCTTCCTCCATCTGGGTCTGGGGGTTCCCACATGAAGGGGCTGGTCTGAGGGTGAGGCGCCCCGAACTTGGGGCTCAGGGCAGTTCTTGTGCTCAGGGGGCTTGACAGCAGGCAAAGGCCCAGAGGCAAGGGGCACACTTTAGACGTGGAGAGGACGCCTTTGGGCTGACAGAATGGAAGCAAGGATTCCCCAGGAGCTGACGTGGACTCAGCCAACTGTAGCCACTGGCCTGACCAAAAAAAGTCAAACCCACTGCTATCGAGTCAGTTCTGACTCATAGTTGCCTTAATGGAAGTAGACTGCCCCATCTTCCTGCTGCAGAGTGGCTGGTGGGTTTGAACCAGCAACCTTCTGGTTAGCAGTCAAATGCCTTAGGCACTACACTACCAGAGCTCCTTACTGGCCTGACAGGCATTTTTTAAAAAAGGAACATATTTCCCTCTTTGAGAGGGTTGCTTGTCTGCTCAAGAGGACTCAGACATGTGGGTCTGGGTTTTAACAAAGCTCTGGATCCATTCGGAATTCTTGGGAACAGGAGGCGTGTCCACATCAACAGAGCAGCTGCAGTTCCAGCCCCAGTTCCCAGGATGGCACTGTGGGCGTCCACCAACCTTCGTACCCCCAGAGACACAGAGCTTGCGGCATCCGGTGTGGCTACAACTATGTGTTTATTCTAAATGTGTCAACCTGAAAGCGCAAGTCACAGCTCTAATTTAGGAAGGTCTCCTGTTGGCCCTGAAGTGGCCCTGGTAGGATGGCCCACGGTTAGCACTGCTTGAGTGGGAGCACTGGACCCCTCAGACCAGTCCTCAGGTCTGCAGAGCACAGGGCACGGGGGCTCAGGGGAGACGCCTCCTCTCCTAAAAGCCAGAATATCTTGTGAAGAAGAAAGGAACAATCACGGTGTGTCTGAGAGATAGGGAAGGGGCAACCGAAACAGACTCGCCCTCTGAGGCGCCTGCGCTTCTCATTGGTGGTGCTGGGGGCAGTGAGCAGACCAGGTCTTGTCAAACCTTAGATCCTCTGTCGGGTGGGGGACTGGACTCACAGCCCGTGGGCCTGGAAAGAAGGGCCCTTCACCCTTTTCTTTGGGGGACAGGGCAGGGGAACCCAAGGAGACCCCAGAGCTCTGGGAATCCAAACCCCGTGACCCACGACACTCAACCAGCATCACAACCGGGCAGCTCTGCCACCAGGGCTAGAGGCTAGAGGTCAGGCTGTGGGCGGAGCCTAGGTTGTTGAGTCTCCAGTCAGATGGCGCCTGAGGGGGCCCCCTGGGCTCAGCCTGGTTGGGCACTGGGGCCTCTATGGACTTGGGGTATCTGATGTGGCTGAGACATTCTCTTACAGAGGGCCAAGGGGACCTGGGGCCTCAGTCAGGGCGAGGGCAAGGGCCGTTTCCAAGGGGGTCTCTCTAGGGAAGCCTATGATTAGAAGCAGCTAAGCAAGCAGGAGTGGGGCAATGCAGCCGCCGCTGCCGTGTCGGGGAGGCCCCAGATTGTCACTGCCACAAGTCACCAGCAGCCGCCCCGTTGTCATTCTCATGGAACTTGTGCAGGTGGTCGGCGAACCTGTGGGCCACAGAAACCTTTGCTGAGGCAGACTGAAAACAGGAGAGAGACGTGCATGTGTGCGTGGGGGGTCGGGCAGGGAGATCGCCGGGGCTGCGATGAAGGGTGCACCAGGTGACAGGGCGTGCGCTGAGGGGGATCGGGATTGGGGGTCACGGTGGAAGATTGGGGGAGCAGGAGACATATGGAGGAATGGGTGGTGATCCCAGGGCCCAGGGTGGTGTCCTCACTTCTTAGCACAGAAGGCAGCACAGTCCCTCTCCATGCTCTCGCTCCAGGCCAGCTTGTAGAGCACCTGGTGGTGGGGAGGGTGGACTCCATGAACTTCCAGTCCTGCCTGCCCAGGCCCAGGGTGGTGGGGCCACTGAATCGCTCCGGTGCTGCCCACTCCACACAGGGCTGGAGGCCCAGCGTAGAGTCACTGTCCCTAATACTGTTGGGCATACCACGGCCCCGTAGGACTCTAGGCTTCTACCCCAGTTAGGGGTCGGAGTCAGAACCCAGGTGAGCCCAGTAGAGGTCACTGCCCTGGCTGGGGGTGGGGTCCCTGAGATGCCTTCAATGGCCATGGTGACATGTAGCTGTACTACACATGCTGTACTGTTAAGGTAATGCCCCCTTGGCTGGCGGCCCCCTGGTCATCTCGGTGGACTTAGTTAGACTCTGTTCCTCTCTTGCCTCAGGCTCCCATAGGGCCTTCCCCTCACTAAGCACTTCCCTGGCTGGGCCCTGGATAAAGTCACCCGGGCCTCTGTATAGGGCAGGCAGCTGGTGCCCACGGGTGAGGCCCTTGGAGGGGAGAGAAATGGCCACAAACTGAGGATGTGGGTTAGGCAGGTCTGGGGTCCAGGTCCTCAAGCTTCAGCCACAGTATGGGTCTCTGCTGCCCCTGAAGGTCAGGGGAGGGAGGAATGCAATGCTGTCTGCCCACCCAGCACTCACCAGGAAGACCAAACAATGCAGGAACAGTGTGTAGAAGAAGCCAATGGTGCGTGCCATCTTGTTGGAGAGAACCAGCCGGCCCTGGGGAGCAGTCAAGGGGCGTGGGGTGGGGCGGGGCCAGCCTCACACTCCCGCAGCTCAGCTCAGGCCCAGAAGGCCCAGGACAGCAAGGGGAGGGACAGGCGGCTGGCACCCCAAATCCACTGCACAGGTGGTGAACTTGGGCCCCACGGATTTCTAAGGGATGTTACTCCCTACAGCACAACGGTAGAAGCTGTTCCGGAGGGTGAGGGACCCTGCCCCAGGTCACACGGCCACGCTGGGCAGGACCTGTGAGGGGCCAGTGAGGCCCCGGGGCTTCTGCAGACCGGACTAGAGGCCAGTGGCTGTCTGGGCCCATCCCAGGGCAGAGGACTCACCATGCTGAGGGTGGCCTTATCCCAGGGGCTCAGGTTCAAGTACTTCCTCTGCCGTTCCTGAAGGGGAAGGGATGCTGAGGGGAGGAGCCCAGGGCCCTGACCAGGCACAGAGGGGCCCTGCCCGTCTGCACCACCCCTCCATTCCCAGAGAGCCCTAGCGGGACTGCCAGGGTGACAGACTAGGTCCCCCTGATCCCCATCCTATCAGCAGCTCTGCTTCCCCATCAAGGCGTCCACAGCCCACGAGGTGGGGACAAGGGGAGCTAGAGGTGGTGGGTCCCACCATGGGTCACCTGATACTATGCGCTGTGCCTGCATCTTTGCTTGTCTGCTGCCCTGAGAATGCATGCATGGGGTTGATTTGGTCCCTGACACATGCCTTCATATAGCCACGAGCAGCAGTTCCTGACACCTGCCCTGGGCCAGCCTGGGTCCCCATGTGCGTGGAGGCTGGGCATGAGGGCACGGACAGGTTGGGAGGGTCGGGGTGAGGGAAGGGGTGACTGAAGGCTTGGGGCCTGCCCGGAACAGGGCTGGCTGAGCACGCGCCTCCCCTGCCTGGGCCAGGTTCACGCACCCGCTTGCTGAAGGAGGAGAAGGGGTCCAGGCGCTCCTCGTACTGGGACGAGTACCGCAGCTCTGTGTCGTCGCTGACACTGCCCTGCGCAGGGAGGGAGGAAGGGCCACTGTTAGGCTCCTGGGGCCAGCAGGAAGGCGTGTCTGAGGGAAGCCTGGGCTGTTTCCTCGCCTGCAAAATGGAGGTGGGTGAGGGAGCCCCAGCTCCTGGAGCTGGAGAGGGTCCCAGGGTGACAGCACGAAGGTGGCTAAGTGTCCCCGAGGCTTTGCCTGGGTCGAGGTCCCCAAAGCATCCCCTCCACCTTCAGGGCATGGTCCTCCCTCACAGACCTGGAAACTTAGGCCCCCGTAAGGACTGGGATGTGGCAGAGAGAGGGCTGCGCCCAGGGGCGGGGAGGCATGTTTTGAGGGGGTTTGCAGGGAGACTGGGGGCAGCTGTGGGGTGCAGGCCTACCGGGAGAGGAGACCCCCCACCACCAGCCGCCCATATGGTAGTAGTTTGCATGGAGGCCGGGCGCCCTCTAGTGGCCCAGGAGCAAGCCCAGTGGGTGGGAATGGGGGGATGGTGGCAGAGGGTTTTCTCCCCAGGGAGGCCCCCCACAAGGACTATCACTGCTGTTCCCTCCCTCTCTGCTGCCCACTTTGACTCCCCACAGCTCACAGATGGGGTTTCCTTGTACAAGGTGGTCCTCTGTGAAGGCTCGGGGCTGAAGAGGCCAGGCACAGGCCTTTCCAGCTGAGAAGAACTGAGTAGCTAGGTTTTTGTTCCGTTCTCTTGATTGGCATGTGACATGTTGGACCAAATTCCGGGCTTTTTTATGTAAGTTTAAAACACACAGGTTCTTCACGGCCTGTCCTGATGCTCCACACCCTGGATTAAAGTCCCCGATCCCGGGGTCCACTAAGGGACCACCCACATTTGGCCCGTGACTCAGCCACTTGCTGTGCCTGGCCACCCCCTGGCTGGTTCTGATGACCCTAGAGTTCTACTCTAGGGGGTCTCTCCACAGTTGAGGGAGGATGTGGGCGGCTGAGGGGCCGGATGGCCTCTGGAAGTCCCAGTGCTGCACAGCGGGACACTGCCCGGCCCTCCTGCCCTAGAGGGCCCTGATCAGCCCCTCCTCTGCCTGGCACAATGGGTGGCAGGGCTGGGGAGGCCAGGGAGGTCGCTCACCCGGCCTGCATAGCTCTGTAGGAACTTAATCTTCTCAAAGAGCTTGATGTTGTCAGCACGCAGGCTGTCCAGCTCGGTCTGCAGGGCGTGGATGGTGTGCTGGGCCAGGCGGTTCTCCTGTGGGCAGCAGGCGGTGGGTGCAGGCAGGCAGGCAGGCGGGCAGGCGGCAGGGCCCGAGGAGAAGGGAGGGGGAGGAGAGCCGCTGTTTAAAGACCCTGTTCAGAGCTGCCTCCCTCTGGGAGACCCTGTCCCCTCCTGTGACCCCCGCCCTAGGCAGAAGTCTCAGTTCTCTGTTCAGGTTTCTTCAATGCTTGTTGTTTTTTGGTACTATCAGTCTTTATTTATTTATTTTAAAAAAATATGTTCAGATATAAGGTGTAACATTTGACTGCTAACCAGAAGGTTGGTGGTTCGAACCCACCAGCCACTCTGCAGAAGGAAGATGGGGAATCTACTTCCATAAAGATTTACCACTTTGGAAACCCAGAGGGGTCACTGACATATGCCCTCATATAGCCACCAGCAGCAGTTCCTGATACCTGCCCTGGGCCAGCCTGGGTCCCCATGTGCATGGACAGGTTGGTAGGGTCGGGGTGAGGGAAGGGGTGACTGAAGGATTGGGGCCTGCCCGGAACAGGGTTGAGTTGACTTGGAGTATGAGTCGGAGTTGACTCGATGGCAGTGAGTTTGGTTTTCCTTATTTTGGTTTATAATTCCTGTAACATAAACGTCACCATTTAAAGATGTACAATTCAGTGATTTTGGGGGGGGCACAGTCACAGTGTTGTGCAGTCACCCCCCTTACCAATTTCCAGAATTTTCCACCTCGAGCCTGTATCTATTTCTTAGCAGTCACGGCTTCTGTTTCTCTCCCAGCCCCTGGCAACAACCACTCATGTACTCTCTGTCCCAATGGATTTGCCTGTTGGGGACGTTTTGAAACAGACTCATTCACTAAATTCAAATGCTTGAATAGGTGTTTCCTTTACAGTATTCCAACTTCAGATGGAACCAAAAGATAGAAGGTAAAATGGTTCCATTTTTGAACAAAAGCTGGAAGACGCTACAGGCTTGCTCTGCTCCTGCCTTTTCTGCCCCCACTTAATCAGCCTTGAAGGCCTTCTCTTCTGGGCTGCGTAGTATTCCACAGTGGCTGTCCTTAGTCCTGAGGTGGCAGGTCTGGGGGAGGCCCCGGGGACATCATCTGACGGCTGCTGCACCCTGAGCCCGGCCTGCTGGGGTGCTCAGTGGTGCTCGCCTCCCCCAGGCCTGAGCCTGGGAACCTCAGGCAATGACATCCCCAGGGCCCCACATGAGGAATGTTGGATTTGGAGAGGCAGGGTCTAGAAACTCTGTCATCAGTTAAAGGAATGGCTCTGTGAGAAGCAGCGACAGCCTTCCTGGCTCCTGAACCCCTGTGAGAGTGATCGTGGTGTTGAGGGCTGGCTCTGTGGGGTGGGGGCAGCTGAGTAACCCAAGGTCGGGGTGATGTCACCTCCAGGGCCACTTCTGGGTCTGGATTTTCTTTTTTTGATGCATATGCTATTAAATAAGGCGCTCTGGTGGTGCAGAGGTTAAAGCACTGGCCTGCTAACCTAAAGGTTGGCTGTTAGAACCCCCCAGCTAGCTCCACAGGAGAACGATGGGGCAGTTCTACTCTGTCCTGTAGGGTGGCTATGAGTCGAAATCGACTCCATGGCAGTGGTCTGGGTTTTTTGTGTGCCTGGCACTTCTGGCTACAACAAGAATTTACAGGGCTCTCTCGACACCACAAAGTTGTGACTTGTAACCCTACCACACCCTTTAACCCTAAGGTGACACAGAGCACACTAGTCTGAAGCTGCACACCACACGCAGATTCAGAGAACCCTCTGAATTGTGAGTGAACAGCATGAAGGAGTCCTTGCAAAAAGCTCTTAGGAGAAACTCAAAAATTCCTTGAATCAAATGAGAATGAAAACACAACATACCAAAATCTTTGGGACACAGCAAAAGCAGTGATCAGAGGCCAATTTATA